TAGCCAAACACCACGTTTCCCAGCTATTCCAGGCCTGCTGGCCAGCAATTCAGTTACAGCACGTCACCACCCATGGGCCCAACCACGTGGGGAAGTCACCCGACCGCATCACCGCACTGCGTCCCTAAATGTCAGACAGCACACAGGACCGCTCGAGCCGAGCAGCTGAATGGAATCACCCCACAGCCCACGGCAGCCACAAAGTTCCAGGGCAACTCCAAGTTAGGCTCAAACACCAGCCCGAATTTTTATTTCTATTTTGCAGTAAGAGGGGAAAATGGAAAACTTAAAATGCTAATTCTGGGGATAAACCTAGCTCAAAAATGTAACACGATCAAAAAAATTAAATTTTTAAGTGCACCAAAAATAGCGAAACTTCAAGCTTTAACTAGAGGTTCACTGAACTCAAGCAAGTTAACAGTCTGTTCAACTGAGAAGGAGTAAAAACTATAAACACATACAAAATCTAGATAAACCACCGCCGAATAGTTTAAAGAGGCAAAGCAGCATTAAGATTTGGGATACTATCATTTTTTTTAAAACTCCCCTGGAAAAGGAACACACATCCACCCCAAGACACATAAGCCCACAGATCGGTGTACACTTCTGAGTCTGGGACCCATGGAGACCACAGGGCCTGGGGCTGCGGGACACGGCCTGGGTCCGCCAGTCCCCTCGGGGTAACAACTGTGAAGAGCAAGCATGACTGTGAGCTCAGGGAGCATCCCGCGCTCTGTCCCGAGCACCTCGAGTCCTCTGCAGTGAGAAAGAGACGCTGAGTGAGTTAATACATCTTGGACATGCACTGGAAAGAAACTGAGAAAAACAACTCTGCAGCAAGCTGACTACTCTGTTGGCTGCGTCGTCATGGGCTGATAACCTCAAACAGGGCGGGACAACGAGGAAGTCTTAACAATACGCGTGTGTCTTTAGGTGGACAGTGTTCGCCGTTGATAAGATATGACCCGTGAAGACGAGAAGCCTCTCCGACTGTAACCCACGCAGGGGCAGCCCTGGGCCCCTCGACATCGCGCTCGAGAGCAGGGCGGTGAGAGCCCTGAGACGAGCCCCTCCCAGCCCTCAAGGCCCAGGCCGCCCTGCCGGGACCGTCCAAAGCAGTGTCCGCAGAGAGGCCAACTAACAAGCCTGTCCTGACGTGAGTCCCAGCTCCACCGTCGATGGCTGTGTTCTCGGGCCAATTTATTAAATCATCTCTACCTGTAAAATGGCAATTATCGTCCCCACCTCGGCTGCGGCGCCCAGGGAAAGCCGCCCGCCTAAGTAACAGTTCAGCAAAACTCGAACTCGCTCAAGGCCTGCGCTCCACAATGTGGGCACCGAGCTCAGGAGTCAGGGCTGTTTAAGCAACTCTTACTATTTTTCAACCTCGCAGCAAGGACGGAATATTACAGGGATCTGCCGCAGGTTCACATCCATCAACCGTTTATACTTGACATCCTTTTATTTTCCCTTTAGAGTGAAAAGAAAAAGAAAAGAAAAGCTGTCTCTGCCCCCTCTCCCCCAGTGCCACGCCCACCTGGACAGCAGCAGATTCCAAGGATGCTGCCCCCCTCTCGCCTTTTCAGAGCAAGGGCACCTTCTCACTTCCCAGCTGCTACTCACTCCCCAGCCCCCTACCCCAAATCTCTCATTTTAGGTTCTGTGTCTCTTTTTTGAGCAATAAACAGA